CCAATTGAGGAAATCAGAAGCAGTAGACCAAATGAAGAAAAGAAGCATGGAAGTCATGGAAGCATGACAAATTAGGGTAATGAAATTGTATTCCACTACTTCCATTAAGAACCATAAGAGACTAACTCCTATCACCAATGTTGCTGCTATTTTCGGCTCTCTCCATAAAAAAATATCCGCAACTGCAATCACAAATATAAATTGTTACATTTCGTGTTTGTCTATAATATCATTCGAGACAACAATGGATAGCTTTTGTAACATATAATATATCACAAAAACAAATTTTAATTAAAAAAAAAACACGGCAAGTTTGGAAACTTTTCATGAATACCACACATTTGAAGTATAGAAAGGGTTTCTATTATCAGTTGTATATGTTGCTTCCTATATATTTTTGAGAATTGACTGATATAAACATGTATTTTCACATAAAGAACGACTGACTAAAGCCAAAAACAAGAGAATGAACAACAACCTTTGCCTCCTCCAAAGATAGAGTGAATGGATCGTTGACGAGTAAAGAGTTTAGTTGGTTTATGGATCGTTCTTTCGTCTTCGGAATCGGACGATACTGCATAGATCGGCATGATCAAGATGCAAATGAATGCGTTAAGTACAAAAAGGAAAGAGTATATGTAAATAAAATTAGTATGGCAATGATGTATGTTTGTTGTTATGGATTTGGAGAAATTGGGAAAATGCAAGAAATATAAAAAGAAAAGATAGGGACTAGGGAGGTTCTAGGCTTGGGAACAAAGGTAACAAACACATGTTCAAGAAGCAAAGAATTGGAATGGTTTTGCCCTTATTCCTTCTCCCTTTTATTTCTTCACCTTCATGTCTCTCTACATAAACAATTCAAACCCTTAGTTTATATCTTGAATATAATGTAAATGTATTGTAAAAAATTGTTTTACATTTGTAAAAAAACATAAAACCAATCAGTAAAGTCAATGTACATTGTCGAAAATCATCTTAACTTGAAAACTTATTCCAATTAAATTGTAAATGGTTCTAAATTCCATATCTAATGTCAAAAAATAGGAAGTAACATTTGAAAGAGTGTTGACCAG